TACAGCGTAGTAGGGCAGTCTGATCTATCTTCAGTCTACCTCGTCTACTTCACTCTCAACCTCTCTCTGAGTTAACTACTCCCAAAGACTAAGCCCAGCTTATTCTCTTTGTAATCACCAACAACCACACAAGTAAGTCTAGGGATTAGAGTTAGGGTTAGGGTCAAGGGTGATACCTTGACAGTCAATGACAAATAGTTAGGAAAAGAAAAAGAACCCCCCTCTCACACTGTAACATGGATGTACTTATCATATAGTGGTTAGTTAGGCATCATATCACACAGAAGAAGTTTGGGTTCTCCAAAACATGCTCGTAGATAATCACAATTGTATATCTGAGTGTGACATTAGATAAGCAGGAGACCTAGGCATCTTTTCTCATTTTTTTCATCTGGGCTCACATTTTCTTCAGCGCCTAAATCCGCATCTGCGCCGCAGAACTTTCTGCGAGCCCAGCTGCGTCAACTTTGAACTTCCCTAAAGTCGGGGACACGCGTAGGCGCCGATCGGAACTAGCTGACACGGCGGTCGTCTGCTACTACGCCTTGATCCTCTCGTACAGGCAACCGTGACGCCTGCCAAATATCTCCTCCTTCTGCCCTCCGCCTATGTGCTGTGTAAAGCTGTGTATGATCATAGTCAAACCCAAGATTTATGTCTCGCGTTGATGGATAGCCCACTGTGAACACTGCGTGTTAGCCCTTCTCTGTTCAATGTACAACTGATGAATCCACTTGTAGTCACCCAGCAGGTGTATTTGCGGGCTTTAAGACATCACAACAATGGAGCACTGCATATAGTGCTCTGCTGCTATCGTATATATTGGTGATCTCTCCCCAAGTACTGCTTCTATGGCAATGGTTTGGCAGTCTATCAGCTCCGATGTCATATAGATGAATCCTGCTGCTCTGCATTCAAGCTCTCAGCCAAAGAATACTGCCCTTTGAAAACTTTCGTCATAGTATGGTCATGCCTCAAGGCCCAAACATAAATTTTATTCGGCAGACTCAAGCCCTTCCGTTCCATACATCATTTTGCCCACCATGACACCATATCTAAGCACGTCCTGCGCTAGCAAAAACAGTGATGGGATGGTTGGTTGTGGGGATGTGGGACATCAGTTTGAGTAAGTTTTCGTTGTCCATCCACTCGGAATGAGTAGTATTGATGACCCTTATTACTGAAGTCGATTCGCTATCCATCATTTGACGAAACAGAGTCTTGTCACGACGAGATCTTTGCATTTAAATTGAAGTTTTGATATTAACGTCAACCAAACCCCCCTGGAGATTGGTGTGGAAGTACGGTGGGCAACGTGTAACCGATTGATTTTGATGTCTCGATTAGTGGCGATCCTTCGTGGATTACAGCGTGTATGAGTTTTCCGGTCATTACTCTGCGAGCCATGCTGACGCTGGTCTTGCCTAGAGCGCCTCGTTTTGCTTTCAATTGCGAATTCTCTGAGGAGCAGAGGTCTTATGGAGAAAGCTCTCGCGCCTATCCGAGTATCCTCAATGAGACCGACAATATGTTCGTCGAACGAAATGGTAGACCAGCATGGCAAACTTCCTTCCCGTTTGGGGCGATGATCCTTTTCAGGACCATCGAGGTGTCTCACGAATTTCAAGTTATCTCGAGTCATCATGATCTTGACAGACTGGTGTTGGTTATTTCTACGTGCAAGTGCGTTACGTGTGTACGATCCCGAGTGTTATTTGTAAATTTGACTTTTGGAAATGCCCGCCGCATGCACAACTATGGAGGTGTGCTCGGTACAAGTGTTCCGCGCCCAGACCCTGGTAATGTCCATACATGCTACGATGGAAGTCGATATACCTTCGATTCTCTATGCCTCAGTATTAGAGGCCCAGTGCATGTATTTAGGTGCATGATGATAAATCTCTCGTCTGAACTCTAATCTCATGACGCTCTCATGTATCAGATGGTCCAATGTGTGAACATATCGATTACTGCATGGCGTCACTCCAAGATGGTGCGACACTCCTCGAGTTTGGCATGCCCGCTCTTCATCTTGTAGGTGTGGAACTGAATTTACCACAGACTAACCCGACCTAATCTGACCCGTCTCTAAGATCGGGATATCGTTTTACGGGACGGAACATTACTCCACAAGGGCTTCTATGACTTTTTATTGCTGATACCATCCACACCCTCACGCTTCCGATTCTTCTGGTGTGAAGATCTTGAACCGAATGCTTGATCAACATACGAGGATATTCACTCGCCCCGGACCAACTGCTGCGATTCTGGTGACTCCTTTCTCCCATATCGTCCCACCTCACCACTGGGATTCTGCGATACCTACCCCAATACTTATACCTGAGAATGATATCGCGCCTGCGTCCCTCCTAAGTGTATTATGTCCATCTGTCATCGATTCGAGGGACGCAATGACAACGACCAGAAGGGCGATGTCGATAGCTGCTAGTCAAACTTGAAGTTTCGTAACTAAGCCCCAGACAGTGGCCACTGAACGATATGTCGAATTCCACCCCATGCCTCGTAATACATGGGAAGTATCTACGCCCGGGGTGGAATATGACCACAGCGCCCTTTGAGACGATGGAGATACCGAACGGAGGCGCGCTTGTCGACCGCGGGCATTCCGGTGTGCCGTGTGCCCAGATGTGTGGAAGCCTCCTGATACTAGATGGAGGACATGAACGAGCGGCGGACACCTCGGACGCGCTCGAACATGACCTATGTGGTCCCAAAGATGGACTGGTGCCACTGACGAAGATCTGGGTGTGGTGTGGGTGTGACTCGCAGCTCGACGGCCCATCGCAATGGACGCCTGCCGCCACTTTGAGAAACCATGTCGTGAACTACTTCACCAATGACGAAAGCGGCTGGCCGAGCGATGCGAAATAGCACACTGTGTACGGATAAAGGCAGTGCATAATTAAGGCGAACTACCGCATTGGCATCGTGCATCTCCACATGACGAGGGCGACGTGCGCGTGGTTTGGGTAGGTTCTCGTTAGACAGGATATCCTTGTTCAGCACTAGGCGAAATTTGGACATGGAAGTGCCGTCAAGCACATTCGAGGGCACAACGCCCACACGAGACCTTTATCGTCGGAGATGAGCCCTTGTAAAACCTGGGCTGAGCTACTCTCTAGTACGCTCTCTGCCTTTCATATAATAAGGAAGAAGTTAATTTGGGCGTTTACTTAGCTGTGCAAATGCCGCTTGACATATTAAAAAAAGTGGCACCTCAAGGGCTGAACCTTCCAATACGTTGTGGGACATGCTCTAAATGTCGACGCACGAGTCTTCCGCCGAAGATACAGCGTGTATGGAGCAAGCATCCCATCCTGATGGACACAAAAATAAAACTGTATCTGGTATTAGTAGACAATAGCTGTCAAGGATAGCAATGGCTTACCGATCCTATATTAATCATAGATTCAATTCCAGATTGACCGGTCAAGGTAAGATCGTTTCACAACTACACCTGTTACACATGCATTGACAGCGCATGACACAGAAATGGAGTGTACACATACATGACATTCCCAGCATGTTGAACGCTGTGCAAAGTGGACCAATCGCAGGCACGTCTTTATGATGCAGTTCGCTTTGGTCTCTCGGCTTCTAACTGTTCAGTTGAATTTTCTTGATATTAGAGACAAGCCTCGGGGAACACTACTCGTTTCTGATAGCCCGCCCTGCATTGACTTAGACTAAGAGTGCCGGCGACAGCCCTTAATATTGCATAAGTGTGATATGAACATCTATCAGTTGATTCTAAGGGCAATTTCTGACAGAAGCAAACAACTTGGGGAACATTGTGTAATCCTCGCTTTGGTTCGGATCAATTTGATCGATGCGTTGCTACCAAACGACATGCATGGAGTTCGCCTGGTCTGGCTTAGTGCACAGGAACATATGATCGTGGATGGAACGCCCTTCAATTTGTCCAATCTTCACGCCAGGCCTAGTCTAAAGCACTGTCTACAATCTCTGTCGGCAGTTGTTACATAAACAGAGGACTCGGCATCAGTCCACAGTGCACCGAAGCGGAAGTGGGGTGGTCTCTTCTATACGTACGTGCGTCTCAATTATAGAATGCTATCTGATTATCTGCGCTGATGAGCACAGTTGGTCGCCTTCAGTTAGGCGCCTCCCTGGCAGCGGCGATAAAGTACTAGCAGTACACCATAACGCGCTGGAAGCGCTCATAAAAGAAACAGAGATTCAGAGGTGGGTACTGTCTGCGGAACTAGTTCATAACTTACCAGCGAGCCGCGAGTGCACTCTTTGATACACAGAGCTGCTTGAAACCAGAAGTTCCGCAGGCGTACGAGATACACGAGGCAGCCGAACAGGGTTATAGCGTGATCAAGAGCGTCTTTCGGCCACATATGGCGAACGCTGTACTAACTTGCAGCAGGAGTATTAGGCAGTTCGTCGTTTGATACGCGAGCAGCTACCGTAAACCATATGAATCACTATGCCGCATAAGCTTTCGCATAGCATGCGGAGATGTAACATGTCAAAATGAATCAGCTGCCACGAGCTGAAGAGAGAAAATCGAAGTGGAGGCTGCCGCGACGCATAAGCGCCAAACTGACCGCGGTCGGGACTTGCCGAGAAATAGGTGTTGGCTAAACGAGGTTGGAGTTGAACTCGAACGTGGAAGATGATGATCTACTTACTTATCCGCGTAGCTGCCCAAAACACAACCTAACATGCTGTTCTATTTCGAGGGCACAATTTTTACGCCTCGCTCATACGGTCCAGGTATCCGCAAAGCGACTATTCTTAATAGCATGCTATCAGCAATCCTGCCAAAGTATCATCTCGTCAGCCATGGACCACTCATTTTTACGAACGGATTTTGTTGGCGTCGAATAGCGACGCTCTGTCAATCAAGAATATTCGCCACCGCACTCACGGCGCTCCCACGAGTTCCATGTGAACATGAGCAACGAGCTGACACATGGGTATGGAGAGATGGAGAGTTGTTTATGTGTTCCAGTAACACCCGCTTGGATCAGCGCCTCATGACCGCCGTTTCATACGTTTCCTCTTGCTGATTCCATTCGACGTTGAAACCAAAGATCCACGATCGCCTTCAGGGAAATACAAAATAGACTGTATTCAATGTCGAAGAGGACGGGATATGACACAGGAGACTGGTACATTCTCTTACTCCTGCCCCACTTCCGTCTCCTACACGCAGCTCCCATCCTTATCTCCACCCCCTTCCCTACCTCCACTACAGAGCGCCTCAGCGGCGGCTTATGATTCACTTCCTTTCCACGTTACTACGACGACTCCTCGGCTAGCCGTAACGTTCATGCCTATAGTGCCGGCCCGATGTGCATACTCCACTCCATCATATTGATCTGAGGTACTCAGAAAATTTCTGCCCGCATCCACAGATCCTTGCTTGACAGGGGGCCACGACGATCACCAACTGCCTGGCCCTCGCCTTCGAACCGAGCTCTATATGCAAGAATGCGGGAAGGCTCCTACCGTGCTCTGCATGAGCTGCCGCATGGATGACTTGAGCAGGAACGCTGCGACTCTAGTCCTCCCCCCAGAAAAAGCGACACGTTTCTGCCACCGCCGCACAGACGAGCCCCGCCATTTCACCCATCTCCGCAGAGGATAGGTCCAACCACGCGCATGTGCTTCGAAGTCTGCAACTTTTTTAACTTATGCGCCCCGACGATCCCCGTCCCCGATCGACTACCCTGTCCCTTTCGTTCATTCTGGCCATCCCGCACGGGACGACGCACAGTGTGCGCAAGCTCCTCGTATCGTGCATGAATCATCCATCGTCGCTGGTTTTCAGACCGCGTCTGCTGCGGACAGTTGCATCATGATAACATCAGCGCCAGCGCTCGCACCCCTCCGCACTCTGCGACATCCATAACGAGGATCCTCTACTAGACAGTGCGCTATTGTCAAACTTGCCGCCGGAGATTCTCAGCACTCAGCGCTCAGTAGTGGCGCCTGGGTGCATGTCGGTTTAGGTCGATTGGCCGCATGTGTTTTTGCAAAAATATATACGTCCGATTCTATATGGCAGCGTTCGATACATTCCACTCCGTGAATGGGGGGCGGGTGAGCGAGCGCGTAGCCGTGGCATCGACTCGGAACACCAGAAAATGCGGGCGTACGCAGCAGGCCTGGTCGGACATGTGGCACTGCGCTCCATGGACAGCGAATTTGATGGATGCTGCGCGTGCACGTCGCTGTTCGAATGTCAGATACAACCCCAAGTGGCGCGCTCCGAGCGCACGCAACTGTTTTTGCTATCTGTGGGGCAGGTACACCCTTCCGCTTGGTCGGAAGCAAACAGCTGTGGCAGTTGAGCGGGACATTTGTCGGATCTGTCAGATCTGGCGCAGCCAAGTGAACGGCGGACGTGTTAGTAAAAAGCATACAGCTGTACAAACTTACAGAGGGCGGTGGAACACCTAACGGAGCGGTGTGGGATCTGCGTACCAGCATTTCGGGGCCCCACCCCCCCGTACATACACAATACATGACAAACGCCCAATGCATGATGACGCTCCACGCCCGCATCCTACCTCCGCCCTGTCTCGGACTCACGTGCCCATCTTCGAACATCTTCGCGGGGAAGTGGACCAGTGATAAGTAACAGTCGAACGCCTGATCCGAACGCCCGGATGGAAAATCTACGTTCGCCCGAGTAGGTGCTAGTGCCATCACGGCGCCGTTCGTACTTCATCTCCGAGCGGACCAGACGAGGCAGGAAAGATCCACGCGGGGTGAGGAATACGATGCCCAATGGAGCGATTCCGCCGTAGTTTGTCGTCAATGATATGTGGTCAGCGGAGCTGATGCATGATGAGTAACGCAAGGGGAATGGAGTCTCGATTCGTGGGAGTTGTAGGCAAGACGATGGTGGAGGAATGTTCGAGCACTATTTCAAAGAGGCGACGAGAGCGGCGACTAGAGCAAAGGAGCCTTGTCGAGATGGGGAGTGAGCAGGAGCAGTAACTTCAAGCTCTCCGGCGGAATCCACGTGGCGCAGGTCGAGCATCGCGGTGAAATTCGAGCGGAAAATGCGAAACACGATCGAAACACGGCCACATGCTGAGTCAATACACACAAATATACATATACACACGCCACTGGTCTGCCAGGTAATGCAAGTCCCAGCGGCCTCCGCGATCTCCTTGTATCTGTTCATCTACTTCTATCGTAATACGTGTTCCGAGTATAGCACAGGACACTAGCGACTATGTGTGCGTGGAAGCTCTAAGCTATAGCTTGAACCTCGAAGGCCTCCTGTATGTTCCGTGATGCGCCGCTGAAATCAGGTAGACTGTAGACAACAGGTGGACGCTTATCCGCTTCCGCTTAATGCTGTGATCATCTCCGTTGCCCACCGCCCAACTCTCACGGATCGTTGTGCACAATGCGATGATCACGTCCGCCACTGCGAATCATCGACCTCTGAATGAAGGATAATCATTGGTCGGAGGTGTCCGTGCGTGCATTCCATGCGGCCAAGAAGAGGAGTAGCGGCAAATAAGGTACGGGAAGTGCAAAGGATTCAGAGCCAATGAACTCGGGGCCCACTATGGGATGCGTGACGGCGGGGCCGGCACCCTGTCTCCATTTCATATCTCACATCTCCAGGAGGTGTGTGCATACCTGAAACGGATTGTGTTTTCCTCTGACGAGCTTCTAGCTGGCGAATGCGCATACTTCAGTGTGACCCTGAGGGACTACGCTCCAGGGTCACAGGGCCTTGCGCTATTCGGGTCAGTGAATAACAAGGAGCTCCTTTACTATCATCTTACGACGACCACATCATGAATTAGCGGCAACCAAGGCTCGCTGGGGCTTCTGGGGCAACTATCCGCCCGGCACCGCCTGATCGGAGATACGGGGTCAATGAAGAGCTCAGATCGGCCGAGGTGCACATGGACGGTCCACCCGTTCCTCTCGATCCGATCCCCTCGTCCGCCTGCACGTGCTTTGCGCAGAATCCATCGCCGCGGACTCAATAGTCGCAGCTCAGATCTAGAGCTGCG